GTGTAAAAACATCCCTCAACATCAAAAATCCATCTCATAGCAACAATCAGATCCTGGTCCCCATCAAACTCGAGTGGCTTCATGTTGTTGAACTCCTGGTACCATAACGAATCACCCCCTATGGTCTCACACAACAACAATTGCAGTGGCTGCGACAGCAACATCCTCAGTGACCGCGGCATAACGCTCGTCAAAAGTCTCAATCAGTGTGGTCTTGATAGACCCAAACATCTCTGGAATAGCCCCTCTGATTGTTGCGGCCACCTCAACGGCAACAATCCTGCATATCTCATCATCACTGGCACTCAGCCTCTCGGGTTCGCTGGAGCCTGAACCTCGGGTAACCACCATACTGAAACACACAAGAAAACCATCAGAATCAGGCTAAAGCGCATACGCAAACACCCACACACTCCTACAAGTTCCTTAGTTCCTTAAGATTCCTTTTTGAGCCGCGTACGGATCCGATGCTTTCAGTAGTACGGGCCCAATACTACCTTCCACACCAACTCATATTTGTCTCAAGTCGTCCTATCAAGACCCTAAGTCACCAGGACTCTATTTCCCCAGATCAGCTATATACTCGCCCCACCGGTTCCTTAGGACCACGACTAAGCATATAGACACTAACTCTAGACTGCTCCCCAACATTGCTCCACCTCACAAGATCTCTATTGTCCTCGCCATTTGCTTCGCGTATGCCAATCGTACACAATACGAGACTCGATAGACATTCGAATAAATGATTCTACCTCAAATCCACAACCAAACGAGGAACAGGAAGAAATACTAAATTAGGCATTCTAAGGCTATAAAATTCTAACTACGTACAATTATACAACATACACCAAGCAAATAGCAATGACAAATTCAATCTCATAAGAACGAACTCTTAGGCTAAAGGCATCACAAATCAGTCAACACTATCACACCATTCCGATAGGATCCTTAGCCTACCACTAACTAGCATGCAATTCTATCAACTCATAAAATATCAGCTCTACACTACTCATAATATAAATTGAGGTATTTTGGGAAAGTACCGCTCGAGCTCTGGTTGAATGTACACACTGCTTCAGTGGGTTTTTCTGTTGTAAAAATCTTCATTCTTTGAAAAGTTTTTATTAAAATCTTCAAATCCTTGGTTTAAGTTTGAAATTACCCTAGAGTTCATCCAAATCCCTCAAAATGTTGAATCTAAATTGTTGATTTGTTAAATTATAAACTTCACAAATACATTTGAAATGATAAATTTTGATTAATAAATTCATTTTCATAATTATAAGGATATGGTTAAGGTAGTCATTTAATTAGAATAACTTGGTCAGAATTCATTCTTACATTTACACAATAATTGTATTTCTTATTTGAACCCAAATCTCTCTCTCTCTCACACACACACAACACACACACATATATATATATATATATATATATATATATATATATATATATATTGTCGAAATCCTTAAAAAAAATATAAATGTATTTGCATAAATTAAAATAATGGTTATCATAATTTAAAAAACATGTGTTTGAAAACAATACCTATTAACCTTTTCAAACTAGTAACTTTCTCATATAGAGATATATATTATATATAGATAATAGATATATATATATAATGAGAAAGTCACTAGTTTGAAAAGGTTAATAGGTATATGTTTTCAAACACATGTTTTTTAAATTATGATAACCATTATTTTAATTTATGCAAATACATTTATATTTTTTTAAGGATTTCGACAATATATTGTATATATTAAAATAATGATTATCATAATTTAAGGAAACATATGTGTTTGAAAACATATACCTATTAACTTGTTCAAACTAGTGGCTTTCTCAATAATAAGTATACTTCATAATCATATAGATATTCTTTTTAAAATTACTTGTTCAAACTAGTGACTTTCTCAATAATAAGTATACTTCATAATCATATAGATATTCTTTTTATCCAATTTTAATCCAATTTACTAAGAAGGATGCTCGGTTTACTACAAGAAGACCAAAACCAATAATTTCAACATAGAGGCTGTTATTTAAGAAGACTTATGCTATGCAGCTTATTCTAAGATGGCATGGAAAATTGGAAATCATGTAATTGATACGATATTACAAAACTGTAATGGATAACTTTTGTGTTCGGATATGTTACTAAAGCCTTATAATTAAATACGTAATGACTCAAACCATTGATTGTCTTTTTTGTATGGACGTATTTTGTTTTCTTCTTTATTTATCCTCCATGATTTTATTCTTCTTGTTTAATGCTTGATTGGAGACAAGATGATGATCGCTTGATTGAGGTTGAAAGCAGTGCCAAATTTTCTATAGCTGAGTATTTATAATTTATCCTATCTTTCCTAGTTATATATAAATAAGTTTTGTTTCGCATGCATGCTTGTATGTAACTAAACTTCCTTTATTGACTTACTTATGGATAATCCTTTTCAGATATAGAAATAAAGGGATCATTTCAAATATATTATTGATACAAAAACATATTATGAAATTTTGATCTCACGTGGCATATCAAATAAAAATATGTAAAGATGGTAAATGATTAGAGCGTACAATTATACAAAGCGATATCCACATACTCAAGATTGGCATTACTTATTGTTTGTCTACGGGTTCTGATATCCCGTATAAAACAATGATATCAACCTTCTTAGACCGGAGGGAATGGGAGAGAAACTTCCCTCACTTTTTGTGGGCCACATCACCATTTCTCTCACTTTCTTTTCCCTCACCTAAACCCAAGGAATGGGTGGGAAGTTTCCCTCACTATTTTGTTTTTTTTTTATTTTTTTTTAAATAAAATTAATTGATTTTAATGATAATTGGAATATAAAAGTATAGTGTCTATTTTGTAATTTTCGAAAACTATTTTTGTAAAGAGAACTGAGAACTGGGGTGTATTTTGCCATAAGACCAAAACATAGGGGCCAAATATGCCATTTCCGGAAACTTCTTCCTTCTTACTCGATGAACCTGCAAACTCAAAAAAGGAAAAAAAAAACAAAAAACAAATTACAGCAAATCACAAGAAGAGAGAGAGTGCGGCAATCCCTCCCCACACCTCCTATACCGCACCGCCGGTGCGGTGTTCCTCCGAGCAGGAATGGCTCCCACGCCTCCTTCCCGCTTCACTCCGTCCGGCCTTAGATATGTATGTCAACTGGTTTCATCGTGATATATATGGATGGGCTCATCAAACAAAAAAAAACTAGCTCCTGACAACTTGTGTCTAACCTGCTAAAGTCCCTTCATAAGCTCTTCGTCGACTAAGTCAAACAACAACCACTAGACTAACAACATTATCGTTCAGTGGCGGATCCACAATGTAAGAAGGGGTCTATGGACCCCATTTGAAAGTTGATTCTAACCTCCATTTTACCAAATCAGCCCTTAAAAAATTCATCTTTTGCTGAAATTGTCCCTTTTGGCAACCACTTTCTTTGAAAAAAAACTATTTCTGTTTAATTTTTTATATAATATGGACCCTAGTAGTATATTTTTTTTTTATCCGCCACTGGACAGACTCCATTTGGTCCAAATGGTAAAGCCCAATTCGGTAGCATTATCTTGGTCTTCTTTATCAACGCGGTCATGACATACGGAACGTGACACTCCCACTGCCGGATTGTTGTACTTCCTCATGCGGTAGATGAGGAACTGTTGTCGTCAGATATTAGCATTGACGCCACCATGACAAGCATCTTGGATTAGTAATTGCCATTTTCTATATACAATTATTGATTGAGGATCTCTGATTATGCATAAATGATAGTATATAAAACAGAATTGCCATTTTCTATATACAATTATTAGCATTGACATACGGAACCTTTTAAAACAGAATTGTCAATTTCTATATCCAATTATTCAATAAGGGTTTCTATAAAGGATCTCTAATTATGCATAAAGGATATATAAAATTATGAAATAAAAAACATCATTTTAAACCAAATTCAGGTTAACTCAATTGCGTGTATCAAAATATTCAGAAGTGTTTACTAAAATAACCATATTTGACTGTTCAATATACCCGCACACAAGATTTATAGATCACGAATTTGTGATATACATTACGGTCGCTAATTTTTTTAAAAATTTGCAAGTTCAATATTTATTATTCGCTAGTTCGAAAATATTTAAAATTTGGCCAAGACAAAAATTTCTGAAAATAAAAACCTGTCGACTCAAGCGTAAGCCAAGTCGTATTATGCACATTGAAGTGGTGTAAAAAGGATTCAAGTGGCAAAGGAAAGAGTCGGATGTAGGTGACATGTTTTGAGCCATAGACACTATACATAGTTTCTACAACTAGGGGATGGTGGCAGCACTACTCTTTGCCCTTGCGAAACCATAAAAAAGTACAGCTTTTTTTTTTGTTCTTTCTTTTCTTTCTTTCCACTAAGCACCCCACTTTTTACACTTTCTTTTTTCTTCTTCAATGAATGGAGCGTCAAATCTTTCACGCCACATGCACTACTTCTATAGACTAGAGTGCTTATAGACTTTTAACAAAGAGAAACCACTATCAAGTAAAACAAAAAAAATTCAGAGTCACAACCATGAATGAAATACATCCCATGCTCATATATTACGCACAAACATATTTTTAAAACACGCATCTCAATAATATATGTCTTTATCTATTGAGATGTTAATAATTAAAGATAACGCGTCGGTGGCCAATTTCGAAGCAAACACCGAAACTAAAAACACGTTTCAGGTTCACCACAAAGCACAACCGGACATAAATCTAGAAATCCAATTCCAATTTGTTTCATCTTATCATCATTATCTAGTAGTGTTAGCACTAGTAAGTAATTTCAGCTTCAAAATGACGCCAAAATCACATATATAAAATTAGATTTTTTTTTTAAGCAAACAGTAGGATACTTTATATATATATATATATATATATATATATATATATATATATATATTATATATATATATATATATATATATATATATATATATTGGTTATTTGATTATGATGATGATCAGCAAGCAAGCATTCAGCCAGCAGCAACAGCATCAGCCCGTGGGCTAGCATCCAGGAGTTGACGCAGCTTTGCAGTAGCATTAGAGTTTTGGTTATTGTTGTTGTTACTACTACTTTTGTACACCATTTCTTCTTCATCATCATCATTTCCACTTCCACCTTCCTCAGAAGTACAACTGTCCACCCTAGACAGGAGGTTAGCCGTGCTTAGGGACACACTCTTATCTTCTGTGTCATTTTCTTCTTGCACGTTCTTAAGTTTTTCCTGTAGTTGTAGTCACAAATAATAATATATAATGTCATTTTAACAAGTATATATATAATTAATAATGAGATTTGGATTCCGTGTCTTACAGTTAGTTTGGCGTTTTGAAGCTTGAGTTTCTCTGAGTTGTCAGTGAGTCGGTTAATCTCGGACTTAAGGGTCAGATTTTCACTAGTCAGTGCATCAACTTTTATGGCCAGTTCTTCAGCTTCAGCCTGAAACAGATATTTGCATTTTGTTTTGTGAGATCCAAGCTACAAAATTGTAGCAAATATTTTGGAACATAAGAGACATAGGGGCTGTTTCTTTTCGATTTAACGAGTTAACCACTTAAAACATCACATCGTTCCTTGTTTCTTTTTGAATTTATATGATGATGGAGAGATTGACTTGATGGGTTAAGCCAAAAAAAAAAAATGAAAAATGGTCAATGTATCTATCTAGATTGAAGACGCCAACCCAACCAGGCCTACACATATTTATATTTATATTATATTTATACAGACAAACATCATTACCCATTATATTCAGAAATGATGAGACACGCATAGTAGGTTACCTGTTTCCTTAATCTAGATCTCCTGGCAGATTCGCGATTAGACTGCTTTCTCCTTTCCCTTTTCAGTTCTCGCTCATTCTGTCATTATTAAAATGAGGGAGGAAATTATTCAGAAAAGAAGGTTCCAAAAGTTGACTCTACCAAATTCAACAAAATGTGTTGCGATTAAAGATGATAAATATAGAATTAAAATGGACCTGCTGTTGAGCTTGGTTGGGCATCATGGCAACAGTTGCTGATGTCATCATGGTAACTGCAGTGGGAGATTTCTTGATTTCTGAGTCAGAGGTAACAACAGTCACTCCATTTGGTTCTTTATGAAAAAAATGACCGCTTATCTTTCCAGCTTCAGCTGCTGCTGCATTTACTTCATGAAGTTTAACCAACAATAATACATTTTACATTTTACATTTTACAATTTTCAATTTTCAGTTTAAAAAAAAAAAAAAAAAAAAAAAAAAAAAAAAAAAGTGTGGAAATTACGAGCAATAGGTGACACTTCACGGCTCCTTTTCCTACTAGCGGTATTGCCATCACTTCCTTCACTAGAACCTTCGGTTTCCCCACTGTTGAAAATTATTAGTAAGATTAAAGATTTAATTTATTTGTAATTAATTTAATGGGAAAAGAATCAAAGAATAGCAGTAACCTGTGAGAAATCCCATTGCCTATCGACATTGCCAGCCCATCAAATCCTTTTAACTTCTTCATCAAGCCACGCTCAGAGTTCCCTGATGACTTGGCAGGAGAATCAATGCTCATTGGACTAGCCTGAAACCACATTTGTCATAAATATCTATAAATAGTAAGCGGTTGTTATGCCAAGAAGTAAAAGACTCACAAGAGGAACTCCAGGATGTGGATAATGTGGATAATGTGGATTGTACATTGCAGCATAAGGTGGCATCATATGCTGAAATTGCAAGTACAGATTAAGGTCAACAAAAATGAAGGTGGGCGGGTAGTGTTTAAATTTAATTACCTGTGGTGGTGCCCACATATAAGGTGGAGGAGGATGACCCGAGTTGAAGTATGGTGGTACAGCCATGCTATGCCCATAATAAGCCTACATATATGCAAAAAAAAAAAAAAAAAAAAAAAAAAAAAAAAGTCAAACTTTGGTCAATCACTCTAAGCTGTGAGAAACAAAACACTTTTTTTTTGTGTGTGAATAATAAATAATCAACAAAACCTGCATAGCTGCCCAATCGGGATATGCATGAACACTCGTTTGCTGATTCTCCTGCAAGCATTAGTAACAATTAATAACAAGCATTGATTGATGATTTATCTGTGAAGCTTGGTTTTAATTTGTATTGTTAAATATGAAAAAGAATTCGGAGGTTACTTACAGTTACAGGTGGTGGAGGTGGTGAAGATGGTTTTTCTGGCTTACAAGCCTTTGTCTCTTCACAGTTGCCCATGGCCAAACACTAGAAACAATACTCACCTACAAATTGCAATGTAGGATAAAAATGTCAAGATAACACAAAAATAAGGTCTTCATTAAGATGAAGACCACAAAGATCTTGAATATATGGCAAAGCATTTAAAAGTATATATATATATATATATATATATATATATATATATATATATATATATATATATATATATATATCATCTAACAATCAAATGAGATAAAACTAAACACCATCAATAAAACACGCCAACATCAAATACAGGAAACAATAACTAATTAGTTTTTTTTGTTCAAAATCATCCTTTACCAAAATTTAATTTAAAGGGAAATTAATTTGTCCATAATCCCTCTGATTAGTTTATTCACAATATGTCTTTTTTATTGTTTGAAATATTTTCTAAACAAGTAAAAGTCTTGGTATTGGGATCTACATCGGTGCTAATGTTGATCCATGACAACAGGGACAATAAATTCAAAAGAAAAGAAAAAAGGTACGGCGTAATTTTGTCCTTTCCATGATCCACATCAAACAAGGAGAAAGTAAAACAGCACCCACAAAAGTCCAAGACAATTACCAATCCAAGATAACCTACTACCAAATTTACAAAACTATCCTCACATTCATCCCAATAATTACATCACCAAAATCATTCCAGGAATATAATTAATTAATTCTACAAATTTAATAATTTTATTTGTCAATACCTCGCAACACTTCTCAATTGAAATTAAAACTCTACGTATGTACCAGTCTACCAGAAAGCAAATTCCACTATATGAACACAATGCTTTCGATCATATGAAATTTTTTCCAGTTTTAATCGGTTTATTATACCCAATTCTCAGTTCTGATCTCCTCTCTCTCTACAAACACACACACATGCGTATTTTGATCAAAAAATTACTACACGTATTCATAAACAATATCAGTCAGAGCTAAATTAACATATAATAAACAACAAAAACAATAAATGCACGAACTTCTACTGCAATCTATAGAAAAAACACATAAAATTGTCAACTAAAACGATTCGAATTTCGAATTTCACACGCGAATTGTATAGTATCGAACAGTTGAGAAGAAAATTAAACAAAATAGACAGTACCTGAGTAAGAAGAAATTTCAGAACTGCATTTTCTCTCTCTAAACTTTCTCTCTCTAAAGCGAGGGAGGGGGAGGGTGAGGGAAGAAGTGTGGGCTTTTTGCAGCTTGTAGAGAGAGGAGAGAGAGAGTGCCAAGGCAACACTCCACGTCACGAGACACGTGTTCGTGCGTTAAGTATTACCATCTCTATATCACAGAAATTATTATATAAGTAGAGGTATCGACTTATCGTATATCAAAATCAGTTCCTTACAATTTCGTAACTTTTATTAGATTCACTATCAATCAGTAAAAAAAGTGATATAGATGATATTTTTTTTACTATATTTTTTCTTTTACTATATTCACCTTGTAAATTAATTTTATTCAAATTGTAAATTAATTTTATTCAAAAGTAAGTATATCAAGGTGCGTTAGGAATTACTTATTTGAAATGTTTATTAACTTATTATTGTTTGGTATTGTTTATAAGAAGTTTTTAAAATAAATATTGAACGGTGAATGCATTAAAAACACTAGCAAGAGGATATCATCCGCCGTTTTTAAAAAAGGTTGTCTCTTTTTGTTGAAAATGTAGGAGCTACGGATTTTCAAATTAACCAAACCATAATCCTCTTTCACGCACCAACTCATCCCTCGTTGCGAACATGAGACTATGTCTCATGCCCTAGAGTCATTGCAGGCGAACCTCAATGGCCACAAGGGCTGAGTAATTCCAGAATTTGAACATTGGTCAATTGGTTATGCACCATACCTTCCACATGTCTAACCAAGTCCCCCCAACCCAAGTGGTTTAATTCTTCTATTTACCTTAGATTGAATCTTTCAAAGAATTACTAATTTCCATCACATCTCTCTGAATCACAAACACCAAACCGCTCCAATCTTGAAACCACCTCCAAACCTGAATCAAGAAACCGCACAAGGAAAAAACATGATCTGTATCCCCATCTTCTAAATTGCAAAAAGGACAAACCAAGGAAGAAATGTTAAAACCCATGACAACAAGATTGATAGCCACTGTAATTTGATTACATAAAACACACCAACCGAAACAGTTTATTTTGAGAGGCGCCCAATTAACCAATTTGAAATCTTTAAAAAATATTATAAACATTCAACTTATCCACCATCAAAGTCCTCAAAGAAATGACTGAGAATAGCCTCGAGGCTTCAGTCATCCACGACCAGGTATCTAAATCCGGCGATAGCAAAATTCCCTCCATAGCAGCGACCAAATTGACTAGCTCATTAGTCTCATTTCCTCTTCTCAGTTGTGTTTTCCAGGCCCAATGGAAATCATCACCATTACCTCAATTTAACCTATCCGAGACCATGTATATTTTCTTTTCTTCTAACTTGTATAGCCCTAGGAACAAGTCTTTGAAAGTATCCACCCTATTCCACTTGTCCTTCCATAAATGTGTGTGATCGGTGCAACTATTCTTTTAGAGCAGTGATCGGTGCAACTATTCTTTCAGATTGTGAGGTGAGTTTTCTCACTATATCCATCGGTCGAAGGCAATAATGCTGGCCCATTACTTGTTATGTGGAATGCTAGTTGTCTCTGTGATGCTTGCATGAAAGACCAGGATCTGGCCCCTGGCAATTGTATGAAAGACCATGGGGGTAGCCCCCATGGCACTTGTATCTAAGATCGGGATTTGGCCCTCGACATTGCAAGGAAAGACCATGGGGTAGCCCATGACACTTGTATGTAAGACTGGGATTTGGCCCTCAGCATTGCAAGGAAAGACCATGGGGGTAGCCCATGACACTTGTATGTAAGACCGGGATTTGGCCCTCGGCATTGCAAGGAAATACCGTAGGGGTAGCCCATGGCACTTGTATGTAAGACCGAGATTTGGCCTTCGGCATTGCAAGGAAAGACCATGGGGGTAGCCCATTACACTTGTATGTTTTGGTATGTGGTATTTTGGGGAACTCACTAAGCTTTGTGCTTACAGTTTCATATTTATGGTTTCAGGTACTTTCGGTTCGAAAAGGAAGGGTCCGACGTGACTGCACAGCATCCCCCAGAGTTTTCCTCATTGGCAACTAATGATGTTACTCTAATGTTTAAATGATATGTTCACTTTGATCGGTTTTGGAACAACTCGTTTATATGATTTATTGTTTTAAAAATGAAAAAAAAATTACCTTGGGTTTTTGGGACGTTACAAGTTGGTATCAGAGCCTTGGTTTGAGGGATTCGGACACACTCTTGGATATGTCTGAACTGAAACGGAGGAATTGGTAATCTTTTGAAGGAAAATAAGTTTCTAAAAAGATTTTTGTAAAGAAAATAAGTTTTTGAAAAGATTTTTATAAAAAAAATGGGGTTTGATGCGTGCAATCAACCAAGCTCGAGTAAGTGATTCCCAGAATACCCATACATGTTGATATGATATATGATATGAATGTTCACATGCTAGGATAAGGCTAGGGATACTTTCAGGAATTGCATGATAGATCGGCCTGATATGTGATGCCTTGTAGCATAGGAAGCATTGGATGCTATGACTGGGAATATGTATTGGTAACAGTATTTGCTATGTGTATGCTTTAAAAATTGTATATGGTTAGAATCATATAGCCCTAGAATGATTGATTTAGCCTTATTTCCTGTTCCTTGTCTGGTTGTGGTCCTAGGTAGAATCTTTTATTTGATAGTCTATTTGATCCTGGATTGTGTATAATTTGTATGCATAAGGCAACCGCAAGTGAGTGTGGGATGCCCTTTTTGTTTATTTTATGGCTTGGAGTGTTACTGCACGAATGTTGTTTACTTTGCTCTTTGTGGAACTCTTAGTGATGTGAGTTAACTATTAAGTGAATATGTTAAGCCACATGTTGTAAAGGTTAAATAATATCAAAGTGATGGATTTGACTCTATTCTGCAGCTCTTGTTTGAGTCCAACCGTTGTAGGGTTGAGTCTTTTACTCGAAGGATTATCTAAGCTTTGTTGCATGTGATCGTATTCATGACGTGGTTAGCTGACATTATTGGGAGTTTTTCAGCAGCTGATGGCAGGGTGAGGTTGGGAACCTATGAAAGCCTAGGAAGTGCTCTAGCGGGTTGGGTTGCTTTTTTAGCAGGTACTTGGAATAACAATTTGGGAAGGTGACTTGGAGGATTCGGGATAACTCTTGAGGAAAGTATGGGTAGGTGTGGAAGGTAGTATTGGGCTCGTACTAGTAAAAGCACAGGATCCATACTTAGATCGAGGGGAGTCACGGAGAATCTAGGAAGCCTGTGGGAAGAGGATTCTTTGAGTATGTTCCAATTATTGTATGGTTGCTTTTCAGTATGGTAATGAGCACTCGTGGAGGAGGTTTAGGCTCTGGTTCAGGCTCAGGTGCTGCCATTGAACCGATGGATGAATAGACGCGGGACTTCATCTCTTCGGAGATCACCCGCAACATTTTGGAGCAGACTCCTGTGATCTTTAAGTTTGGTCAAGGAAGGGATTATGGAGATTTTGGATGAGCATCTGGGCACGTTACGCAAAGATCTTTTGGCTATTGTAGGGGCTCGCACTCTTTCCTTCTGAAAGTTTCGTGCTTGTGGAGTTCCTGAGTTCTTTAGGGAGAATGACCCCATTGCTAGTAAGAGGTGGTTAGCGGACATGGTGAACACTTTTCGGTCGAGCTTCTACCTCGAGAGGTCGAAGGTCAGATTGCTTCTTGTCTTCTGAAAGACAGAGCCCGAGATTGGTGGGAGGAGGTGGACTTTGCTTTGGTAGGCGATGCCATTGAAACGATGACTCAGGAGGAGTTTGTGACCCGGTTTAGGGCAGAGTGTGCACCAACTTTTTAGGTATAGCAGTTGGCGAGGGAGTTTCAGAACCTTCGCTAGACGACTGAGATTGTGGTAGAGATCACTGCCAAGTTTTGGGAGAGGGCTCTTTTGGTTTCACAGTATGCCACATATGAGGAGATGAAGAAGACAAAGTACCATGATATGTTGCGAGACGGTATAAGGGAGTTTGTCAGCCTTTCAACTTGTCTAATTTTGGAGGAAATGAAAGCTAGAGCCCGAGAGTGGGATATTGATTTGGAGAACCTCGGGAAGAGGAAACCAAAGCAGGTGCAGACAGTTGGGGGTCCTGCAAAGAGACCCAAGACTTTTTGATCGACGAGTAAGAGGCCAACAGGGTCGAGGTCAGTGCAGCACGTGCGGGAAGGATCACGATGGAGTTTGTCGATTTAGGGGTTCAGGTTGCTATAAGTGTGGCAGGATTGGTCGGGTCAGCAGAGATTGTCCCCGGGGTACGAGTCTGTTATGTTTCCATTGCAACCTGGTGGGCCACGAGAAGGCCGACTGTCCGATGTTGTGGGGCGAAGCAGTATGTGTACCTGCACCAGTTAATTTGAGGATCACTGATGGTCGCGAGGGCAGAGTGGATGTCCCCATGGTGAGGAGTCGAGCATTGCATTCACAGGTTGAGGGGATCCGAATTCCACCAGTTAACGTCGCATATATTTTATTTTGAGAATCTTCATATGCCATTTTGCATACCGAGATCCTTGCTTAGAAGATTTTCGGGTGAGCCGGTTTTGGATGTCGATGTGGGAGGCATTGACCACTATCATAGAAAGCTTTAAATGATAGAAGACTAACAGACAGTTTGATCTTTGGTGGTATCAGCAAGGAACTCAAGGAATCCGCAAGGTGGGCATGTTGGGTTTGAATGTAGGAATTGTAGGGGTCATTCGGGAATATGAGGCAATGAGGAATTGGCTTGATCGTGGGTGTAAGATCGGTAATTGTCAAGTTCATACCTTCGAAGTGTGGTCATTTTCAAGTTCGCATGGGAATTACTCTAGTGCAAGTAGGTCATTGAACTGGTTGGGTACCCGTTTCAATAGTTGAGATTTTGTTCTTCGTCATCTGATAAAGTCACCAAGGACATATAGTGGATTCAGTGGAAAGTGCTCGGGAATATTGAGCTCGTTGAGATTTCGAGAAGTATTTATTTAATTTTGGCAGGTGTGTGTTCTCTAGGATTAGCTAGTAATGGAATGCTAGTACTTCTGGGCTCAGGTTGTCGGCAGCTTCGAGTAGTCAGGTTGCGAGATATATTGGAAATCTATCAAATTTGGGGTTGGAAGAGCGGAGTTGAATCCAAGTGGGGGAGAACTGCTTGGACTAAGGGAT